CGTGTTGATGTGAAACGCGCCCGCATCGTCCTCCACCATCGTCACTTTGCCAATGCAGATGAACGGCATGGAGCACACCGCCGCCAGAAGCGCGGGGAGAAGCAGCACACGTGCCTGCAGGCATCCTTTTCCCCACATCATCACTGCCTTCTTCCTTTCTTCGTCTTCGTGGATGCGCCTTGTTGCCTGGATGGGGGCCGGTCTGCTGTCCTGAGGAGAGAAGAGACAGTCGTCTTTCTTGCCTGTTCACGGGTCCACGCAAAACGCTCGAAACCGGTGTTTGATGAACAGGACCAACGATCCCAGAAACCAATCGTCTCTTGGTCTTGCGTTTGGTGTGTGTGCGTGTGTGTGTGTGTGTGTGTGTGTGTGTGTGTGTGTGTGTGTGTGTGTGTGTGTGTGTGTGTGTGTGTGTGTGTGTGTGTGTGTGTGTGTGTGTGTGTGTGTGTGTGTGTGTGTGTGTGTGTGTGTGTGTGTGTGTGTGTGTGTGTCGACGTGCACGCTCTCTTCTCCAACCACACGACATCATCACCACCTCCCATTTTCTTGTGTGTCTTTGCTCACATGGTTCCCTTCCTCCTCTCAACACCACCCACACTCGCTTTTGTCCTTCCTTCTGCGGTTGCAACACAGGGCCTTGAGTTGGGAGCTATCGTTACAACACCAGCGAACTGACAACAGCTGCCATGTAATGACCATCCAGCCACGCTTGTGCGGTTGTGGAAGCAGCAACACCAACACACACCACACCACAAACAAGCCAGCGATGAGCAACGTGAGTGCATCTCTGCACATGTATGTGTGTAAGCTGCGCACCGCACCAGTGTGCTTTTTTTGTGCTCGCTGTCTTTGTTGCCCCTGTCTCCCCTTGTTGTCCCACATCAATGTGCATGCATGTGTGTCGTGCGGCTGCCTGCTTTGCCTTGCTTGGTGCGTTGTCTCATTCGTCGTTCTCACACACAACCGCCTGCACACCTGCACATTCTCCACCTTGCAGCTGCTGCTCGTCTTTCCCGCTCTTTCCCGCTCTCCCTGGCAGCCATCTCCCCTCACCACCACCAACAGCAACAGCCAACACACCCTCCACCGCCGATGCTGCAGAGATGTGCATGAGGAGTAGGTGAACACCACCACCACCACCAGCAGCAACAGTCACCGGCGGCAGCAGTGGCAGTGGCGAGTCAGTGCCCAAGCGACAGCAGCAGCGACACGACCACAGCAGTGTTGATGGTGGTCCACAGCCCGTGGTGTAAGGGTGCACAGGGTGCATGCGTGTGTGGGTGTGCGTGTGTGTGTGCGTGCGTGCACGGTGTTGGAGATGACAGCATCAAGAAGAAGGACACAGCGTGGAAGGGACTTTGAGGACTCCGTTGTGTACTCGTGCCACTCCGGTAACGTCGTTTACAACACCACATCCGGCAGCACGCTCACCACGCTCCTTCCGCCAGACAGTACGCCTGCCTACATGACCTCGTTCACCCGCACGTGCCGGGCCGATCAGACCTACACCAACACGGAGCTGGCGTGTCGTGACGTCAACGAGTGCGACCCAGACGCGTATGCAGCCTACACGGCCGCAACCGGCAACAGCGCCCAACAAGAGCAGTCGTTCAGCACGGCGTGCCAAGACGCATGCACCAACACAATTGGGTCGTTTGAGTGCTCCTGCCCTGCCGGGTTTGAGCTGCAAGCGGATGGGCGCTCGTGCGATGTGCTGTCGTGTGGGCTGCCGCCTTCTCGTCCCTTTGCCACCGTGGCCAGCCAAGACCAGCCCCGCACCTACCAGCAGCAGGCGCTGTACACGTGCGA